TCAGCTGAGGCTGTGTGCCACCCCCTCCACTTCCTCTGCTGCCCAGCTCTTCAGGCAAACCCACACGCATACAGATATAGTACATTTGGTACTTAAAGATACAAGTCAAATTCCCACTCAGGTTAGGTGCTTTTTGTGTCATGTGCCCTCAAATTCCTTCAGATGTGATCTGAATGCATCTTGTTCCTCTGTGTGATGTTATCTACATTCAAAATTAGTCTCTTATGCTCAACAAGGCTGCATTTAGTTGATCCAAAATACAGTAGAATACACAGTAAAATATTATTACTGTTTAAAATACCTGTTTTCTGTTCAATATATTTTAAAATACCTGCATACAAAGTACATCTCAAAGAGGCACAAAATCACTTTCACAGACTTTTTCACTAACTGTTCCCTCCTGGTGGAATGACCTGCCCAAATCAATCCGAGCAGCTGAGTCCTTAACCATCTTCAAGAAACGACTAAAAACACATCTGTTCCACCTTTATTTGACCCTCTAACTCTAGCACTTTCTATTCTATTTTAATTCTACTTTATCTATTTTTATCTTCTTTTTTTATAAAAAAAAAACAAACAAACACTAGCTTTCTATTTGGGATTAATTTCAGAAAAAATGTGCGATTAATTAGTTGTGTGTGTATATGTGTGTGTGTGTATAATATATATATATATATATATATATATATATATACAGTATATATATATATATACACCTTGCTACATGTACTGCGTTAGGCTAACCGAGACTTGTCATTTGCACTTTGCATATATTGTTGTAACAACATATATTGTTGCTCTTTTGTTAGTTTTGACTGCTTTTATTGTCCTCATTTGTAAGTCGCTTTGGATAAAAGCGTCTGCTAAATGACTAAATGTAAATGTAAATGTAAAATGTCATTTATTCCTGTGATGGCAAAGCTGAATCTTCATTATCCATTACTCCAGTCTTTAGTGTCACATGTAGTTTTCTACTGTACATTCGTATTGGCTGCCGCTTGTGCTTGCCCCCTTACCCGGCGGTAATAAACACAGCCTAAACACGCAAGCTACTTGTTAAGAGTGTCAGTCAATACTATATTTATAGTAGTTAATTTATGCTCTGTGGCATAAGTGTTTCTTTTTAATCAGTCATTAGCACTGGCCCATATGGCCGTGAGGTCCTGCGGTGACATGCATGTGCCATGAGCCTCATCACCTCCCTTCTCATTTGCTAAGCAGCTAGCATTAGGCAGGAAATAGAATAGATTGGTATTGCTGCGTGTATTTAGCTCTTCATTGATGCTAATGCATCTGAAAATGTTGTGCTAAGATCCAGTTGAAAGTGTCTTCAAGTATCTACCTCTAGTTTAAAGTATCCCCAAGCAGTGGAGTATGTGTAGACAATGCTAAGTGTTCATGTAAGCATGCAAATTTTGTAGAAGAACTGTGACTTTGCAGTAAGCACACACTCACTGAGGTTGCATTTATTTGAACAAAGTACAGTAAAAGCAGTAATATTTTGAAATATTACAATTTAAAATAGCTGCTTTTTAATTTATTTTAAAATGTAATTTATTGCTATGATGGCAAAGTTGAATTTTCAGCGTCTTCACTGTCACATGATCCTTCAGAAAACATGATGATTTCTTATTTTTATCAGTGTTTAATTATCACATTTTTACTGCTTAACATTTTAAATAGATTTTTTTTGCAACAAATGTCTCTTTTGATTAATTTAATGCATTTTTGCTAAATAAAAGTATTCATTTATTTAAAAAAAAAAATTGTACTAACCCCAAGCTTTAGAACGATAGTAATAAATAAAAAATAACCCAAAAAGACCCAAAAGTTGTATACATTGTAAAGATTTATAGTAGTTGTAGAGATTTACTGATAGAGATGATAGAGAGTGATGTTGGCAATTTACTTTTTTTCTTTTACAGTGTTTCGTAAACCGATGCAACAGTGAAAGTAAAAACTGTACACAGACAAGTAGGCCATGGTGTCCTTCTAATTCTAGAAGTCAAGTAACAGCGAATGCAAAAGGGAACATTGGTCCAGGAGGTCGTCTGGCTTAGATGCACACTGGCTGTGAACTTCAAACTGAGTCTCTCAGACATTGTGTGCGAGAGCTCATGAAAGCTGCTTTACTTAGGAATTGTGGTTTTATGGCAGAGTGAGAGAGCTTATCAGCATCAGGTGTCCCATCGCATGCTGCCAGCTGATCCGTTTTCACAGCATTCGTCCTGGCTGCATCAGGTGGACTTGGAGCAGGTGGAAGCAGGGTCTTCATTACGTCCCGTCCTGCTTGTCTCTGGCTCATGTTGGCTATGCGCCCAACTCTTTTCTATGCCTTGAGCATCCAGGTTCTCCCTCTGTCAGATTCACTTGTCGGCGGCTAGCTGGTGGGTGGATTTGTCTTCAGGGACACCACACCCTTGATGTGCTTTACCAAAGATATGTTCCTGTATCAACATTATTGTTGGTCATTCCTATCAACCAGTCAGATTTTAGGAAATTTCGAGACAATTTTACAACAGTTCTAATCAAGCAATCAGCACCCTTTGACTTTAGGGATGGGTGGGAATTTTAGAAAGGTGAATTCCAGTAAAGTCATGAAAAAGAAGAAAATCTTAAAAATCATGGAAATTTCTAAAGTGATTAGAGATCTTCCTAATTATTTCTCTTCTCTAAAATATGGAAATGTGATTGTAAGTCTCATGGAACACTGGTTCGTCAAAGGTGGTGGGAACCCCAGTTTTAGGAGAGAGATGTTTTTGTCACATGCTGATCATCCCGGTCTTAAAGGATTTGCATGGAACACATCGACTGCCAAATTCAGTGAGGAAGATAGTCATTTGGTGAGAAAGATGGTAATGGTTTTGGTGCTGAAGGCATCTCTCTGACTGATCGCTGTTGGTGACAAAGTGTTGAGAATGTCCGGAGCACATATGTTCTAATTGCAGTGAGATTTCCTAGATTTGGAATCATAAGCATGGGATGTTGGTCGGGGTTGTATGACACATATCACAGTATGAATAAATTGATATACTGTAGATAGATAGATAGATAGATAGATCAAATGTAAAATAGATCAAATGATTAGATAAAATTTAATTTATTCCTGTTATGGCAAATCCGAATTTTCAGCAGCCATTACTCCAGTCTTCAGCGTCACATGATCCTTCAGAAATCATAATAATATCCTGATTTGCTGCTCAAGAAACATTTCTTATCATTATCAATGTTGAAAACAGTTGTGCTGCTAAATATTTTTGTGAAAACCGTGATACTTTTTTCAGGAAACTTTGATGAATAGAAAGTTTAAAACAACAGCACTTATTTGAAACATATTTCAGTTGAAAAGTCTTTACTGTCACCAGGGCCGTTTCTAGGCATAGGCGAGCTAGGCGGTCGCCTAGGGCGCCGCCAGCTGAAGGGGCGCCAATGAGCGCACGTACTGGCACTTTTAGCAGGGTTGTGATAAAGAGTGGCGCCCGGAAATATGACTGCCGCCCCCACTGGATCCCCCAACATTATTGGGCTAGAGCAGTGTTTCCCAACCGGGGTGCCGTCTGTCGAGAGCAGGGGTGCCGTGTAAAAAATCCTTTTTTAATATTCTTAAATTGCTAAAATGTTTAAAAAAAGCATCGATTATATAATATCCATTTCAGATGTCGCCAATAATTAGAGATACACCGAAATTTCGGCTGCCGAAAATTAGTTCACCGCTCAGGTTTCACTGTCACGTGGTGTGACGCTCTGCGTACCTGAAAAACTAAAAAGCAATTTATTTAATTCCTATAGACCAATTTCTGTGTTTGCAAACAGCGATGACGTTTTTGTGGGCGGAGCCTATCTGGTGGCAGAAAATGACCGCTTTATAGTAGCAGTCTATGGAAGCCATGTAATAAAAGAATAAAAAAAGGTAGTTGTGAATTTATATTTCCAAAGTTCTGACTTTTTTTTCCTCGCAATTCTGAGATTATATCTCACAATTCTTATAAGAAAAATCAACTTGTCATCCTCTCGTTTGCCCTCAGATCAGAATCATGAGTTTATATCCCACGCTTCTGGCTTTTTTCCCTCAGAATTGACAAACTCGCAGTTGTTAAGTTAAATCAAGTTATAAAGTCCGAAATAGGAGATATACTTGCATTTGCGAGAAAAAAGTCAGAATTATAAAATAAAATAGGTAAATGTTACGTAAAATGTTATAGGTTTAAATAGTATTTCATGCTGTAACTGTAGGGCTAATATGTGAATATTATGCAGACCTATTGTATAAATCAAATTTACGCTTTAAAAGTAGCAGGTTCATCCATAGTGTGTCTATTTAGACATCTGCATTTAGTTTCAGTATTCTTTAAAAATGATTTGCATTCCGATTCTGACATCCAAAGGCACAATAATACATTTTTGATCTTATTCCATGGATTCTACCCGTTTCCCTTCACTTGTTATCAGTGTTTTTCTGCCACCACATTGACCACAATGTGCACGCAGCTGCAAGTGACGTAACTGTGATCAATTGATCTATTTGATCTCTTGATCTCTTGCTAAATAAAAATGTTATGTTTTTCTAAAAAATATCTTGATGACCCCATTATTTTCTTTTTATGTTTAAAACTAAATGAAGTCATATTTGTAATCCATACCCACACAAGCAGATTTGTACAACACAGTACATACCATCAAAGTGCCCAGCCCTAAACGATGGTTTAGACGAGCCTGGAGCAAAACATGTTCTCTGTCTGCGACTTTTGTTGTTTTCAGTCGCAAGCTTTTCATGACAACTTGTATGAAAAATCAAAGGGTGTAGATGCAATGAGGGATCCATTATTTTGTTTTCAATCTTGGTGGTTTCAGTGAGTTTCACATTTCTTTCTTGTGACTTTATAATTAATTTTAATGAGTGAATTGAGTACTTTTCACCCAAAAAAACTCATTTAGACTTGACTTGAATGAAGTATTTTATCAGTTCCTCTTCTTTCTCTCTCTCTCTGTTAAATGGACAGGGCATATGCACGATGACAACTGCATTACTGCACTTCTTTTTCCTGGCGTCCTTCTGCTGGGTCTTGACAGAAGCTTGGCAGTCCTATATGGCCGTGACGGGGAAAGTTCGGACCAGGCTCATCCGGAAACGCTTCCTCTGTCTGGGATGGGGTAAGTGCTTGGATCTCCACAACAATCTCTACATCTCTCCCTCTTTCTTTCTCCCAGTCTTTATTTCATTTAATCCATCATCATCATGCAGCTGGTATTTACTTCTCAAATGTGGACGATGTGAGTGGGTAATTTTTGAATATCGTCTCGTATGTTCCATACCTCCCTGGGGTTTCTTATACAGGACCACTTTACACACACATCAAATTGATTACAGAAGAGCTAACGCTCATCCCTCCAGTTACCTAGCAACAAACAAGGCTCTCTCTTTCCATCATTGCAGTGTTTTGCTGTGTGCAGAGGAAAAAGACAAGACAGAAGAAGATAGACAAAGACAGATATGTGAACCGTTTATTAGTTTGGCTATTCTGATGCACACTGATGGTGGATTAATTGAATTATTGGTATCCATGAAATGTTTCATGTGAGCATCAGTGCATGGCGGTTGTTTTAAACAAGACTCACATTTTAGATTTATATGGTTATACGCTGATCATAAGTGGTTTGTGTTCAGTATCTCAGAGCTTAATGGTGGTGGAAATTCATAAGCGATGTCTGCTATCAAATGAACTTGTTGCTCCTGCTTTTGTATCAGTCCGTGACTCCATTGCCATAACAACGGTTGCTAAGCAGTGAATAGACCAGACAAAAAGAATAAATTAAGGATGCCAGCAGCCAACTTCCAGATCATTTTACCTTCGTTAATGTCTACCTCAGGCATGACACGACACAAAAATTATATATAATTATATACAAAATAAAATAAATAAAAATTATATTTAATTTAAATATTATTTGTATATATAACTGTTAAGTATATGTTATATAATAATTAAGTGTATATATATGATTATAATATTATATATAGTAATATTATTAGAATAAGTCAAATGTAAAAATTCTATATGTGACCCTGGACCACAAAACCAGTCTTAAGTAGCACGGGTGTGTTTGT